GGGATTGACAACCCGTTGATCATGTTGGGTGCAAGTATATGTTTTTTTGTGTGTAGATACTACTAATGTGGTGTTGCGAGGTTCTTCTACTGAATTGAATAACCTTAGTTCTTAACTAAGGAAAATACTTATCTCTACTGTACTGCATCATCCTCTCCTCTTTGAGGAAATCTCAACGCAGCTCACAAGTAGCAATTGTGAGTGATACAAGACTCGTATTTTAATTCAACGTCATTGATGTGAACATCACTGATGACAAGAATTTCAACCAGTAGGCCAACTTGCCGATCACATCTCTATGTGACTCTTGTTCATTTTTCAATGGATGTGTTCCGAGCTCAGGACAATCTTGCCTAAACGTCAAGACAACCAAGTGATCTTGCTAGGAGGTCTGACCATCACCCACCTCATGCTTCTCAATTCGTTCATACCCATGTGGACATGGCGCACCCCAAAAAGATACGTATTTCAGATGTGCTATACTTGGGAGAACACTAGCTACTTGATATTAAGTTAGAGATCACCATAATAAAAGCAACTACCGCGTAATCAAATGGGTGCATCAAGAGGGATAAACATCTCAGGCAGTTGATAATAGCATGATATGGTATAGCCCTTCCTGACAGAGAAGTCTTTATTTTCTTCGTCTTGGGCATTTGCATCGGTGTCCACTTTCGCAAAAGTTGTCACCGTCTTGAAGATGCATCAAATAATATTGCTATCATTCTAGCTAATAAAATTAATGCATTACAACAAGGTTGAGACGCATGTCATTAAGGTGATAATCATGTGGCTCCAGCCATCATGCCGAATCATGACACGTAGGTCATGTTAGTTAATTTACATCATATGGCCATCACATACATAATCTCATTAAATGTGACAAAGACTATCCCACATCAAATGCCTTCTTGCAAAACCAAGTTAAATACCTCTAATCGGTTTGTGTAGATTTTATTTTACGTGGCTTCTAAGGTTTCGAAGCAAGCCACATCTACCTTTATTTCATCATCAAGTATGATTATTCAAATCGCTAAATTAGCTTTGCGGGGCGTATGAAACACGAGATAAAAAATCTCGAGCCCCATACCGAACTATCATACGTAAGAACCATGTGCAGATCATATCTGCATTGCCCTTTAATCTACGTTTCATCTTTCTTTAATAATGGTAACCCAAAGAACTAAAGAACTTCACCATACCTTCAAGATTAGAAATATGCATATTAAAGAGAAGCAACAAGAACATCAGGTAATAGATTTCATTGGCTACCCTCACAAATAATTTTCACCAATAGATCTCATCTGTTACAAAATTATATTGTGCAATACCCATACATCTCATGTATTCTAGATCGTAACCTGCATATACGCATAGCATGGCTCCTGATGCCACTGTAGGGTAACGCAACAAAAAACAAAAAAATCGTACTACGAGCACACCAGGACCACTATGAAGATGCATACAAGGTTTGATCTAGTCATTATTGACTCGAAGCACAATGGAAGGAGAGTCGGTGGATATCCCCGCAACTAGGATTTTACAACCTCCCAACCGCGAGGATGTTCTCCCTTGGACAGTCCTTCAGGAGGCCCTCGAACAGAAACTCGAACAGTCCCTCGGACAACCCTTCGGGAGGCCCTCGGACAAAACCTCGGCGTAACTAGGCCCTACCGGAAACTAGACAGACTATCGTTGTACGAAACTATGTTGTGAAGAGGGAGATAGAAAGCCAGATCATTGCATGGCATGGTTGAAGCGGTCGCATTATCCGAAATGTACATGGTGGAGGTCGGACAGCCGCAAAACCTTCCTAGATTTGATGCCGGTTTGCAAGAGTTCGGATGCAAGAAAACGGGACGATGTTGGATGGCAGAACAAGATCCACACGCGTTGAAGATGCCCTCAGACAGTGACACTGGCGTAAAAAAGACAACGGCTTTGCGGATTTTGCAAAGGAAAAAATCCAAAATAAACCTTGAACTTGAAGATGAAAGATAAATCAAACCCTGAATTTTGAATCCCGGAAATTGGCACTCTAAACTTGTTGATCCCGGTCTATTTCGGACCCTCCACTTGTTTGGCGCACTGGGAATACTACAATCCCGGCCGGGATAACATGCTACTGTCACTGACGATTCGGGCCCACATGTCACTTCACCCCCTTCTTAGAGCATCTCCAGCCGCGCCCCCAACAGGCCCTCCCTAGGCATTTTTTCTACGCCGGCACCGAAAAATGCCACAGTCGCGCCCCCAGGATCCGAATTCCGCCGACTCGGCCCGTTTTTGCGCCCGCGATCGCAGGCCAAACCCGGTGCACTAGGGGGCGCTCGGGGGCTCCGGCGCAAGGGAAAAGCGCTCCTAGGGCCACATTGTCAGGCGAAAAGTCAAGCCACATGTCCAGATTCGCCCCCGACCTCCCGCGCTCGTCCGCCACCCTGCAGATCCCGGCGCCGTCCACCGTCCACCGCAGCTAGGTAGATCATTTCCGGCCGGGAAAAGAAGGGGTTTCGCCAAGGCAGCCTCTCCGCTGCCGTCCGAGCACTTTTTTCGGCGTTTCGGGCGCGCAGGGCCTGTACACCGGCGGGTTTGCACCCACCTCGCCCGCAAGGTGTTTGGTGATTTGCCTGGCCCGGCGATGGACTCCGAAGATGAGGAGGTGCTCACGGCGTTGTTGGAGCAGGAAGCCGAAGCCGACGTCCAGGAGCAGGAGCATCTCATGGTGCTCGCCGCCCTCGCCGGCCTGCTCGCGAGCAGTGAAAAGCCGCGGTGAGGTGGCTCGGTGCCTGGGCGGGTGAAATCAAAGAACCGACATCGTCTGGAAGGCTATTGTATGCTCTACTCGGACTACTTTGCCGACGCTCCATTGCACGGTGAGAAAACATTTTGACGTCGTTATCGGATGAGCCGAAAGCTTTTCCTCAGGATTGTGAATTCCATCCGGGAGTTTGACAACTACTTCAAGTGCAAGATGGATTGCACCGGCACACTTGGATTTACCTTAATCCAGAAGTGCACGACAGCTATGAGGATGCTTGCATACGGAGCTCCCAGTGATTCACTCGACGACTATGGGTGCATGACCGAGTCCACCACCATTGAGTGTATCTACAAGTTCTGCAGGGCAGTGGTGGCAGTGTTTGGACCGCAGTACTTGCGAACACCCAATGCGGAACTGCTCGGATCCTAGCACAGAATGCAGCAAGGATTTCCTGGGATGCTTGAAAGCATCGACTGCATGCATTGGAAATGGAAGAACTATCCATTTGCTTGGCAGGGATTGTACAAAGGCGCCAAAGGCGATTACAGTGTGGTACTTGAGGCAGTGGCCACACATGACCTTTGAATTTGGCACTCTTTTCTTTGGGATGCCAGGAACTCACAATGACATCAACGTCCTGCAGTGCTCCCCAGTCTTTGCCAAGCTTGTTGAAGGTCATTCTTCTCCAGTGAACTTCGAGGTCAATGGGCGGCAGTACAACAAGGGGTACTATCTAGCTGATGGCATTTATCCGAGATGGTCGACATTTGTGAAGACCATCTCAAACCCTGTGCCAGGAGGCAAGGACGCCTGGTTTGCGAAGGTTCAGGAGGCTTGCAGGAAGGATGTCGAGCGGGCATTTGGTGTGCTTCAATCTCGATTTGCTGTTGTCCGGTTCCCTGCTCAGACCTGGTCGAAAGATCAAATGTGAGAGATCATGACTTGCTGTGTCATCTTGGACAACATGATCATTGAGAGCGAGCAGGAAGAGCCACTGTTTGACACTGAACCATATTACAGGCAGGGTCTTCTTGTCCAAGTTGATCACCAGCTACCGGCAACCTGGACTGACTACCTCAATATGCGTCAGGAGATCCGAGACCGGCAGGTGCATCAAGAACTGCAACACGATCTGGTGGAGCACCTATGGAGGCTCAAATGCGAGGCCGGAGCGAGGCGGGAATGACGTGTGATGAAACTTGAGTTTTTATTTGTTAAACTATATAATTTGTATTGAACTATTTGTTGAACTATTTGATTTATGTGATGAAACACGCCGAACCATGCCGAACTATGTGACAAACTAATTGATTTCTATTTGTATGCGAAAATTCACGCCGAAACACGCCAAACCGCGTCGAATATGGGCCGATTCACGCAGATATCGGACCGTTTTTTTGGACATAATTGAGCCGAACACCGAGCCAAAATCGACACTTGGGGGCGACCTGAGGGCGACGGTTGGGTGCCCAACCGCCCCCAGCGCCGAGTTTACCGCTGGCTCACCCCAGGCCGCTCTTTTGAGTTTTTTTTTCTGGCATGGAAAACAGGCGCAGGTTTAGAATAGACCGGGATCGATAAGTTTAGAGTCTTAATTTTTGGCATTCAATGTTCATGATTCGATTTATGTTTCCTCTACGAATTTAAGGTTTGTTTTGAACTTTTTCCTTTTGCAAAGCTGCTACTGGTGTGTCGCGTCATGGTTGCACTTGTATACAGCTCCGCTCATCGGACTGGACGCGTGGACAGATTACGAAATATGCACCGTGGCACCCACGGACGAGACTTGCCTGCTCCCCCGGTGTGTGTCCATCCGTGCTCCCGCGTACGTGACTTATTTTGATTGGAAGAAAATAAGGCCCGGCCCCACCCACTTAAAATCAGGGGGAAAGATGATTAGATTAGAAAAAGAAAAAGAAAAAAGACAGCCATAGGATAAAATGAAAGCACGGATGAGAGCATGTGAAGGGAGCACGCAAACCGGATCCGGCACCCACACCGCACGGTAGCCTAGTAGCACACTGCGGCGCACCACACCACACCACGGCACGCTTCGGTTTCGGCCACGGGAAAACGTTTGGGGATGGAGGCGCTGGGCCTCCTGGGCCGCCTCGGCCACTTCTGCCGCCGCAGCACGGCCACTCCTTCCCCTCTCCATCCTCCTCCTCGCAGGAACAGCAAGCGCGGCAGAGCCGTGCGCGCCGGAGCCAGAGCCGCCTCGTCGTCGGCGCCGCAGGCGATGGAAGCCAAACGGGAGGAGGAGCCGAGGGTGATGACGCTCCGGCCGGTGGAGGCCACGCAGGAGTCCTTCGCGCCCTTCGGGCAGGTCATCGCCGCCTCCCCCGACGGCGACCAGTTCGGCCCCCACGACGCCCAGCTCGACCTCAGCCGCGGCATCCCTAGGTTCGATTCTCCACATACTAGTACCAATGAATCATCCTCTTCTACTCTGTCCCGGACTAGAGCCCTCTCTGCTTTGGCAGGTTCTACATCATGAGATTGGAGAGCAGGCCGCTCAAGTTCTCTTCCATCACCCACCACGCCAGCGTCACGCAGTGCCTGGGCTCCATCGGCGGCCAGGATTGGTACCTCGGCGTGGCCAAGCCCTCCATCGTGGACGGGCAGAGTGGCCAGGACCGTGGCAGGAGTCTCGTGCAGTCGCGCGCTGGGCATTTCTATCTGCCTCCCGATCCGTCCGAGGTCTGCGTCTTCCGGGTCTCTGGTCCCAAGTTTCTCAAGCTGCACGCAGGGACCTGGCACGCCGGGCCGCTGTTCAAGGCAGACGCCGTGGATTTCTATAACCTGGAGCTCAGCAACACCAATGTGAGTGATATATCATTGCACTGGCACAGTATTATATAAGTTAATTACTGGATTTAGTGCGCTTGGAAAACAACAGTCCCATCTGGCTTCTAATTAATTCTAGGAAGTTTTGTCCAGCTTTGCAGTTGCAGTGTCATTGTTGGCTGGAATAAAATTGAACGTGTTCGTTCGTGCGTCTTCTTAGAGCAGTAGAGCCTCACATATCACCGGTCTTAATTTTGAAATGCAAGAGAAATCACAATACTAAGATAAGAGTTCATTTTTAAGCAACTTCTATGGTAATACTGTAGACAATACTGAAGTTGCTGTCTCAATTTTCAGAAATTACCGAAAAAGGCTTTCGCCCCGCTTTATAAATAAAGCAAACCGCCAGAGAGCACACATACAAGGACTAGTCCACACACACACACACACCCAAATCTCACAACAAAGTACAAAGGTTTTGCTGAGGGCACAGCTCAACAAGCGCAGGAAAATAACAGAAAACAGCCGGAGGAGAGAACACCTAGTCTGGTTCCGGCGGAGGCGGCGGGGGCGGCGGCGACAGACGGACGGCCATCGAGCGGAGGTCGACGATGAAGGCGGAGGTGGCGTCGCGATCCTGAGGGCGGCTAAGAGGCCGCCAAAGCTACAAGAAACCCGAAAGTTTGAAGAGAGCGTCAGTAGCCCGTCGAAGAGGAGTGCGTTGGATCACAAGCTTATTGCGAATCGTCCAGAGGGTCCAAGCGATGACCCCAATCTCAAGCCACCTAATGTGGCGAGACGTCAAGGGGGAGATCTGGAGTTCGGCAAATAAGTCGGGAAAGTTGGTGTGGCACCAATTTCCACCGACCGCTTCGCGAAAGCAGCTCCAAACGAACTGAGCGGACACGCAGGAGAAGAATATGTGATTTGAGTCTTCGGGGACACCGTAAAGTGGGCAGAGGCCAGTGCCCAGGCCATTTCGCTTGCGAACCTCGACCCCAGACGGGATCCGACCGCGAATCCATTGCCACATGAAGATACGGATCTTCAGAGGCAGGCGGATGGACCACACCGTCGAGAGGGGGATGGGGGCGGAAGAGGGGGCGATGGCCAGGTAAAGAGACTTGGTGGAGAATTGGCCCGATGGCTCCAGGCGCCAATGCATCTGGTCAGGGCCACCGTCCATCATTGGTTCGTGGAGGGCAACACAGTCTAGTAACTCACGCCAAGCGGCGGATTACGGGGGCCCAAATGGCCTTCGGAAAGCAAGGCGCCCTAAGTCAATAAGGGCCCTCTCGACAGAGATCACAGGATCGACGGAGATGGAGAAGAGGCCGGGAAAGCGCGCCGCGAAGGGGGCGTCTCCGGCCCAGCGATCAAACCAGAACAAAGTCGAAGCTCCGGAGCCGACCGAGATGGAGGTCCCGATGCGGAGAACCGGAAGAAGCTGGACAACCGATTGCCAGAACTGGGATCCACCAGATCTCTGGCAGAAGGCGAGGGGCTGTCTGCGCAGGTATTTGTTCCGGATGATGTCGAGCCAGAGGCCACCGTGACCTTGCATCCGAGATGCGCCAAAGCCAACGGGAGAGGAGGGTGATATTCATCCGCTTAGAGCACATAATGCCAAGGCCGCCTTGCTCCCCGGGCTTGCAAATGTCCGGCCAACTGACCATATGATACTTCTGCTTATCGTTGTCGCCCGCCCAGTAGAAAAATCAGAAATTTCATGAGGCAGTTTATAATATACAATTTTTTGTGCATTTTTCACACTTCGCACACGAGTACGTTACCTCAAGTTTTAATTTCAGAGAGTTTGTCAGACAGTTCATGATGAGTTCACAATTATGTACGCTTTTCAATTATAAAGCCTTCAGTTTCACTTAGTCCATGTGCTACTGCTACCCACAGTGGTACATTCATCCTGCCAAAAGTGAACTATTGTGAGCTGGAGTTGGAAAACCACCAACCTTTCTTATACTGCTATTGTTTATAGAGTGGGAAGGCTATTAAAACTATTGCTGCTGCATTATCATCTTGTAGATGTTCATCATTCATCCGGTGGAGTTGGAAACCAACCTGTCCTATCCTGCCCTAGGTTGAATAGTCTAAAGTAGTGTTGAAATCCCGATGTACTCCATCCAGATTTTTCTAATGGAAGAAATGTTGTGCACCCAATCTAAAAGAGCTCGCCTATCCTTTAGAGTTTAGATCAAGCCCAGTGTGTTGTGTCAAAAAGAATTCAGTCATGTAGCTGATTACATCTCCCTTACTAGAAGTTGGCTATACACATCAACTTTAAGTTTATCATCTCATCGTTTCTTTAGGGCGTGAAATTATAAAACTATGTTATTTTAACCTGGAGGTGAGCAACACCAATGTGAGTGCCATACTGCCACGTCGTTGCATTTATAAGTTCATTCTTGCATATAGTTTGTCTGGAAAACAGTTTTTTTTAACACGCAAGAGAATTGCGTGTCATATCGTTAAGAGAGGGAAACAGTTGTTCCATCTGGCTTCTAATAATTCCGAGGTAGTTTTGTCTAGCTTGGCAGTTGTAGTGTCATTGTTAGTTATAAAACTGGACTTCATAGCACCGACCTTAATTAGGAGATGTGAGGGAAACCACAATACTAAGATAAGAGTTTCTTTTGTGTACTCTCTCCATTCCAGAATATAAGCTGTATCCATTTTTGTGGTCAAACTTGTGTATGTTTGACCAGGATTATACAATAAAATATCGACATCTAAAATACAAAATAAATAAAATATGAAAATACTTTTCATGATGAATCTAATGATACAAAAATATTACTGTAGGTATTGAATTTTGTTTTCTAAAAACTTGGTCAAAATTGCTTATGTTTGACTTAAAAAACCCGGATACACCTTATATTTTGGAACAGAGGGAGTAGCTTCTATGCTAGTGTAGACAATACTGAAGTTGCTGCCTCCATTTTCAGAAGTTTCATGAGGCAGTTTAGTTATGATATATAAACATTTGTGCATTTTTTTACACTTTTTGACAAGTACGTTAGCTAACTCTCAATTTCACAAAGTTTGTCAGACCGTTCATGATGAGTTTGCAGTTTTATGGTCGTACCTATTACACTTACAAGTCCATGTGCTATCTACAGTGGTATTCATCCTGTCTTAAGTAAACTTTTGTGAGCTGGAGTTGGAAAACCGCCAACATTTCTTATACTGCTATTGTTTGTAGAGTCGGAAACCTATTAAAACTATTGCTGTTGCATTATTATCTTATAGAAGTGCATCATTCACCCGCTGGAGTTGGAGACCAACCTGTCCTATCCTGTCCTAGATTGAATAGTCTAAAGTGGAGCTGAAAGCCCGATGCACTCCATCCAGATTTTTCTAATGGAAGAAATGTTGCGCACCCAATCTAAAAGAGATCGGGTATCCTTTAGAGTTTAGATCAAAAAGAATTCGGCCATGTAGTTGATTACATCTCCCTTACCAGAAGTTTAATTATACACATCAACTCTTAAGTTTATCATCTCGTCTCTTTAGGGTGTGAAATTATAAAATTGTGTTGTTACTTTAACCTGGAGCTGAGCAACACCAATGTGAGTGCCGTACTGCCATGTCGTTGCAGTATTATAAGTTCATTACTGCATTTAGTTTGTCTGGAAAACAGTTGTTCCATCTGGCTTCTAGTAAATCCGAGGTAGTTTTGTCTGGCTTTGCAGTTGCAGTGTCGTTGTTAGTTATAAAACTGGACTTCATAGTACCGACCTTAATTAGGAAATGTGAAGGAAGCCACAATACTAGGATAAGAGTTTCTTTTGAAGTAGCTTCTATGCTTCTGTGGACATACTGAAGTTGCTGCCTCCATTTTCAGAAGTTTCATGAGGCGGTTTAGTTGGGACATATGAACATTTTTGTATTTTTCACACTTTGCACTACTGCGTTACCTAACTTCCAATTTCGTAGAGTTCGTCAGAGAGTTCATGACCCGGTCCATTCCCATCCTGAGTAGCACAGTGCTGCTGGTATGTACAGTGGTACATGCATCCTGTCTTAAGTAAACTTTTGTGAGCTGGAGTCGGAAAACTACCAGCCGATCTTATTTTGGTAGTGAGTCGAAAGCTTGATAGGAGTATTGTTTATTTTTCTTGAAACAGAGGCAAAAGCTTTGCCTCGTCCATTAATAGGAGTATTGTTTATTTTTCTTGAAACGGAGGTAAAAGCTTTGCCTCGTCCATTAATTAAGGAGGAGTTTTACAGAGTTAATGCTACATGGTGATACAAGCATTACAGAGTTAATGCTACGCTTGATAGGAGTATTGTAGAAGTGCATCATTCATCTAATGGAGCTTGAAACCAACCCTGTCCTGTCCTAGATTGAATAGTCTAAGTAGAGTTGAAAGCCTGATGTACTCCATCCAGATTTTTATAAGAGCATCTCCAACAGGGGCGCGGCGCGCTAAAAAACCTTTTACAGTGCCTCCATAGCCAGTTTTTGCGCGCCGCGGAGCGCTGGCTCCAGCGGCCGCCGCAAAAAATTGCGCGCGGGCCGCTCCAGCAGACGCGCTATATTTTTGCTACTCGTGTCTTCTCCTTCTACTCTGACTCGAGACACATTCGACTCCGACTCGATACGATAGGCATAGATAGATAAATAAAAGGTACATAGATAGATAAAAACGATAGATAAAACGATACATAGATAGTTCATAACCTAGATAGATTAAAGATAGTTCAACTACTACTCGTCGTCCTCCGACTCCGACTCGACTCCGCCTCGGTGATGTCCTCCTCCGATGTCTCAATCAAGGCGTCAAGGTACCGATCGTCGTCGGAGTCCCACGACGACGCTGCTCCTAGGTCGATGTTGAATTGAGCGGCCACCTTCTGCGTACGCCTGTCCTCGTGATAGGGGCTCGCTCCGCCCTCCTCTCCGCCCTCCTTTGCGCGTAGTGTTAGACAATAAATCCCGTAGGATCTACTTAACAGATCGTAAGCCAGACATTAGATCACCTATTTGCGTGATGAACAGAGGGATGGATTGATGATCTTACCACCAATGGAAGAGGCCATTGGTGTAGGCGATGCGAAGTCCCGTGCCTGCTCGATGCAGGCTTGATGCAGGCTCGATGAAGATGCTCGCTGCAGGTAGCGGCGTCCCTCCGGGCGCCACCGGCATTGCCCTGGGACAGGGGCAGAGCTTGGAGATGATCTTCCCGTCGTGCAATGCTCCCCCAGATCGGTTAGGGTTTAGGGATGTGGGGAGCAGGAGAAAACCTTACGTGAACTAGTCTAACGTAGGTGTCGGCTGCTCCCCCATCTTTTTATGTGCGTTGGCGACAGGGGACCAAAACCATAGTTGGTTAGGGTTGACGACGTCCTGCGGGAAGCGTTGGCGGCGCATCGCAGTGCAATGGCTTCCTCGTCCATCTTGGCGACAGGGGACCAAAACCATAGTTGGTTAGGGTTGACGACGTCCTGCGGGAAGCGTTGGCGGCGCATCGCAGTGCAATGGCTTCCTCGTCCATCTTGGCGTTGGCGGCGCATCGCAGCGCCATGGCTTCCTCGTCCATCTTGGCGAGGCTGAGACGGCGCTCCGGCCTCCGGTTGTCGCGACGATCCTCGTCGGTGATAAGCCGCGGGGAGGTGCCAGCTCCCGCGTCGGGGAAGTTCATGTCCCTACGAGGCTGCCGGAGGCGCCACGCCGTCGCGTCGTATGCGCGGGCGGCCTCGTGGGCTGTGTCGAAAGTGCCGAGGCGCATGTCGCCGGACCGGATCTCGGCGGAGAAGGCGCCGGCGCGCAGAAGCCGCGGTAGCCCGAAACTCCCCGGCGGTCGAAAGTGCCGAGGCGCATGTCGCCGGACCGGATCTCGGCGGAGAAGGCGTTGGAGGGGAGCGCGCGGACGCCGCGGTAGCCCGAAACTCCCCGGCGGCACTGCGGCGTGGTGGCGCGGTGGCGGCGAGGTGAGACGGAGCGGGGAGAGAGCTGGAAGAGAGCGGCAGAGGGCGTGTAGCGAGGTAGAGAGTGGTGGGAGGGCGCGTGGCGGGCGCTGCATTTATAAAGCGCGGCGCGCCAAAACTAGCGCGTGCTCGGCTGCTTTTTCGCGCGCGCAACTCGCGCCTGAGTTTCCCACCACTGCTGGCCGGGGCTCTAAAACCCACTTTTACCGCACGCCAACCACTGTTGGAGATCCTCTAATGGAGGAAATGTTGTGCACCCAATCTAAAACAACCGAGGAAATCCACCGGGTACCATTTAGGCCAAACTCAAAATGCTGGCACTAAAAAAGGTTGGTTCGTCCATGCCGTTGAGCACATCCCATCTTACTAGAGCTATTATACGCATCAAGTCTAACTTTATCATCTCATCTGCCTAGGATGTGAATTCATAAAATTATGTTGCTTTATCGTGCCACTCGCACTATTGCTGCTAGATGGTTTGGCATCCTTCCTGCCCTTGGTTTTTTTTACACATCTTTTCTTTTTTGCTGGTGGTTTTTTTTAGACATGGTTCCCTCGAGTCTAAGCCGAGGGCATGCATTTGCTTCACTTGGCTGCACGACAGTGGTTCCCATCTGACGATGCTTGTGGAATCTGCAGATCGTGGATCACACCACGCACTACTTCAAGAAGCACGACGGTGTAACCTTTGTGATCGATGACTGAGACGCTGCGTCCCAGGCACAAAAGCTCAGCGCAGCGTGTGCCTCGCGGACGCTGTTCGTGCCCTGTCTCTCGGTGTGATTGAACATCCAGTATGTATGTGTATGCAATAATGCACCTACTGCAAGTCATTTGTACGTACTTACGTACGCATCGGCCGCTCCCTGGGCGTTTGTTTGTGTCGTTGTTTCTGCTGACACCCGGCGTTGGAGATGCCCCTGACACTGACATAATGAAAAAGGCAACGGCTTAACGGATTTTGCAAAGCTGCTACTGGCGTGTCGCGTCATGGTTGCACTCGTGTACAGCGCCGCTCATTCGGACTGGACGTGTGGACGGATTACGAGAGATGCACCGGAGCACCCACACCGCACGGTGGCCTCTAAGGCCTTGTACAATGGGAGGTGCTTAGAGAGATGCTTAGAAAAATAAATCGGTTTTTTCTCTAGCATCGGTGCCTATTTCTACAAGAAAGACGCTTAGGTAAGTGCCTATCCTGTACAAATAAGCACCGGAGCATCTCCAACAGCCGCCATGCCGCGCGGCGCGCTAAAAATCAGTTTGCAGTGCGTGGTTCGCTCGTTTTGGTGCGGCGGCCAACGCTTGCTCCAGCGGCCGCTATAAAATGCTGCGCGCGCATAGCTCCAACATGTGCGTTAAAATGCAGTGCGTGCGAGCAGCCGGCACTTGCCATATGTTGCATTTTGGACACAAAATAAATTTCAAACATCAATACAAAGACATGCATAATTTAAATTACACGAACAAGTTCATTATGACATAAAAAATTCATGCCCACAACATCATCCAGTCAAGTTCAAAATCCGAACCAAGTTCATGACACAAAAGTTCACACCAATGAATGGCCCATCAACAATCAAGCCTTGTCCTCCTCCTCTTCCTCTTCCTCCGATTCATCATCCGAAGGGGATTCTTCCACCTCTTCATTGTCGCGCGCGGTGTTGGTAATATCTTCAACGGCATCATGCGAAGGTGTTGGCACATCGGAAGACATGTCGCCCATGCCGGTCGGAGGTGCTCCCATGCCTCCCATGCTGCCAATGCCGCCCGGAGGTGCTCTGAAGCCACCCATGCCTCCCATGGTCTCCATGGTAGCTCCAAAGCCACCCATGGCACCATGCCGCCCGTGGTAGCTCCGAAGCCAGCGATGCCTCCAATGCCGCCAATGCCACCTATGCCTCCCATGCCGCCAATGCCACCGCCACCCATGCCGCCTATGCAACCGCCACCCATGCCGCCAATGCCACCGCCACCCATGCCGCGAATCATGACTCTTTTTTGGATCAAGACTTCTTCACGGATAAGATTGACATACTCCTTTTGCGCCTCATTGAGGGTAGATGTGTCCAAGAAGAACCAGTACTTCTCCCATTCCAACAACCTAAATCGCTCCTCCATGCCCACCTTCCTCTCCTTTAATGTCACCCTCCTCTCCTCGGCCGCCACCCTCCTCTCCTCGGCCGCCAACCTCCTCTCCTCGGCCGTGGCATCTTGGTTCCTTGCCATCTTCCTCGCCTTGTTCGCTTCTTTTCTTGCCTTCACAATAGTTTCCATATCATTTTTGAGCTCATCATCCCCTTTCCTCTTATTCTTTTCTTTTGCGTCTTTCTTGCACCCATCTGGTCGTTTTGGCTTCGAGTATGAAATGGAGTTTGGTGTAGGGCTTCTCTTGCGGTCATCACTTGATGCCTCCTCCTCCTCCTCATCCAACTCAATTGTTTGCTTGCATTTGTTGCTCTCATCAACATCATCGATGTCGTCACGCTTCTTTCATTTCTCATCATCCTTCAATTCCTCATAGCAATGAGGCAAGGTAAATGGTCTCCCTTTCTTGATCTTCCCTTTCTTGATATTCCCTTTCTTGGTCTTCTTCTCCTCTCCTTTGAACAAGTTTTGTGCAATATTGAACTACAAAAAAACAAAACAAGTTAGCACTAGAAACACCAAGAACAAGCATGATGAACATGGATGAAATGGCACTTACCCTATCTATACATTAGTGCCACTTGGGTTCAACTTATCAACCGCCTTTTGTGCGACCACCCACTTTTGACAATCTCGGTTGATTGTCGACCACCGGGAGCGAAGAGATCGTGCTGAGCAGTCAATTCCACTCTTGTTGTGTAGATCAAAGTGCTCCTTCATCCGGTTTCAATGTGCATCTCTACTTTGATCACCTCGAACGGATGGATCCCTCGACACTTGCGACCAAGTATTGCATAGCAATATGTCTTCATCATTGGTGTAGTTGTTGGCAGACGTAGCATGCAATTTCAAAAAAATTCCTACGCTCATGCAAGATCTATCTAGGAGATGCATAGCAACAAGAGGGGGAGAGTGTGTCCACGTACCCTCGTAGACCGAAAGCGGAAGCGTTTGCTTAACGCGGTTGATGTAGTCAAACGTCTTCTCGTTCCGACCGATCGAGTACTGAACGTACGACACCTCCGAGTTCTGCACACGTTCAGCGCGATGACGTCCCTCGAGCTCTTGATCCAGCAAAGGGTCAAGGAAGTAGATGAGTTCCGTCAGCACGACGGCGTGGTGACGGTGATGGTGATGTGATCCGCACAGGGTTTTGCCTAAGCACCGCGAGAATATGACCGGAGGCGTATACTGTGGAGGGGGTGGGGGGCGCCACACACGGCTTGGAGCAATTGGTGTGTCTTCTAGCCCCCCGTATATAAAGGAGGGAGGGAGAGGAGGCCGGCCCTAGGCACACCCCAAGTGGGTGGAGTCCTACTTGGGCTCCTAGTAGGATTCGGCCTCCCCCTTCCTTTTACCGGAGGGGGAAAGGGGAAAGGAGAGGGAGTAGGAGAAGGAAAGGGGGGGGGGTGGCGCCCCCTTCCCTAGTCCAATTCGGCCTCCTCCCTTGTGGGGGGCGTGCCAGCCCCTTGCGGGCTGGTTAGCCTCCCTCCTATGGCCCATATGGCCCATATCTTTCCCCGGGGGGTTCCGGTAACCCCTCCGGTACTCTGGTATGTACCCGATACACTCCGGAACCCTTCTGGTGTCCGAATACTACCTCCCAATATATCAATCTTTACCTCTCAACCATTTAGAGACTCCTCGTCATGTTCGTGATCTCATCTGGGATTCCGAACAACCTTCGGTCACCAAAACACATTACTCATATAGTACATATCATCATCGAACGATAAGCGTGCAGACCCTACGAGTTCGAGAACTATGTAGACATGACCGAGACACCTCTCCGATCAATAACCAATAATGGAACCTGGATGCTCATATTGGTTCCCACATATTCTACGAAGATCTTTATCGGTCGAACCGCTATGTCAACATACGTTATTCCCTTTGTCATCGGTATGTTACTTGCCCGAGATTCGACCGTCGGTATCTTCATACCTAGTTCAATCACGTTACCGACAAGTCTCTTTACTCATTCCATAATGCATCATCCCGCAACTAACTCATTAGTCACATTGCTTGCAAGGCTTCATTTGATGTGCATTACCGAGAGGGCCCAGAGATACCTTTCCGATACTCGGAGTGACAAATCCTAATCTTGATCTATGCCAATCCAACAAACACCTTCGGAGATACCTGTAGAGCATCTTTATAATCACCCAGTTACGTTGTGACATTTGATAGCACACAAGGCATTCCTTTGATGTCTGGGAGTTGCATAATCTCATAGTTGGAGGAATATGTATTAGACATGAAGAAAGCAGTAGCAATAAAACTGAACAATCATTATCTATGCTAACCGATGGGTCTTGTCTATCACATCATTCTCCTAATGATGTGATCATGTTCATCAAATGACAACACATGTCCATGGCTAGGAAACTTAACCATCTTTGATAAACAAGCTAGTCAAGTAGAGGCATACTAGGGACACGGTGTTTTGTCTATGTGTTCACACATGTATCAAGTTTTCAGTTAATACAATCCTAGCATGAATAATAAACATTTATCATGATATAAGGAAATATAAAATAACAACTTTATTATTGCCTCTAGGGCATATTTCCTTCAGTCTCCCACTTGCACTAGAGTCAATAATCTAGTTCACATCGCCATGTGATTTAACACCAATAGTTCACATATTTATGTGATTAACACCCATATTTCACATCGCCATGTGACCAACACCCAAAGGGTTTGCTAGAGTCAATAATCTAGTTCACATCGCTATGTGATTGACACCCAAAGAGTACTAAGGTGTGATCATGTTTTGCTTATGAGAGAAGTTTAGTCAACGGGTGTGACACATTCAGATCCGTATGTATTTTGCAAATTTCCATGTCTATAATGCTCTGCATAGAGCTACGCTAGCTAATTGCTCCCACTTTTAATACGTATCCAGATTGAGTCTCAGAGTCATCTAGATTAGTGTTAAAGCTTGCATCGCCGTTACCCTTTATGATGAACCCTTCATCACCTCCATAATCGAGAACCATTTCCTTAGTCCTCAACATTTCCTTAGTCCTCTAAGGATAATTTTGACCGATGTCTAGTGATCTACTCCTGGATCACTATTTAACCCTCTTGGCAAACTCATAGTAAGGCACACAACAAGTCTGGTACACAACATGGCATACTTTATAGAACCTATGGCTGAGGCATAGGGAATGACTTTCATTCTCTTTCTATCTTATGTCGTGGTCGGGCTTTGACTCTTACTCAACTTCACTCTTTACAATACAGGCTAGAACTCCTTCTTTGACTGATCCATTTTGAACTCCTTAAACATCTTGTCAAGGTGTGTGCTTCGTGAAAGTCCTATTAAGCATCTCGATCTATCTCTATAAATCTTGATGCCCAATATATAAGTAGCTTCACCGAGGTCTTTCATTGAAAAACTTTTATTCAAGTATCCTTTTATGCTATCCAGAAATTCTACATCATTTCCAATCAACAACATGTCATCCACATATAATATTATAAATGTTATAAAGCTCCCACTCACTTTCTTGTAAATACAACCTTCTCCAAAAGTCTGTATAAAACCATAT